CCTTTATCTGATTTTGAAATTGTCGACGGAAAATAAGCAGTCATTTTCATGATCATTCAAGACAAGTAAGGGAGGAGGAGCATGGAGTAATCTTCATTTCTGGCCTTCCACAGAAGAAGACAATACTACATTCTGGCAAAGTGCTGGGAAGTTCATCCAGTTCTTCCACTCAGAATCCTTCAGGGAGGCGAGCATAAAGTATTTTATTGCTTTTTAATCTCTGAAGAAAAAGGTTTTAGTAACTCCTTTCTTGAGCCAGCTTTGTACTAATAATGCTTCTGAGTAAGATACTGTTTATTTCATTAATTCTTTAATGTTCATATTGTGACAGCTGGTGTTTCTTCAAATAGCAAGTAGGAAAGAGCAACAAAAGGTCCACGAAGATAATACTCTACTACTGTTCAGATCATTTCTACATGATATGGACAGTGTAAAATGTTTGTTTCCCCTTGATTTCATGGTAGAGGAAAAAGAAATACCAGCAACACTTTCAAACTTAACCTCTACATAAGTATGACAGAATCTTTCAAGTCAATTTTGTTTCCATAGTGAAGCTGCTTTACACAGATAAATCCCAGAGGCTAAATCTTTACATTCTATTATACTAATTTCCAAACACTGATGAATCATGATATTTATTTCCAATATTGTATATTTAAATGGAGTTTAATGTCTTAATTTGTGTGTATTGGTCTAACATCTGCCACTGTTGATATTAGTAAGGCGTGAAGAGTATAAAAACAGACCAAAAGAAAAAAGTCATTGTTTATGCCATGCATGATTCTGGTTGTTTCCTTAAGTATACATCTAGTTGAAGGTTCATAACTACCTATAAGAACCTACAATTTATTTTTTTTTAAAAATTTACATTTACATTTTGAATCCATTTAATAAGGAAGGAAATTTGTTGGTACTGATGGGCAGAAGAAAGATCGTTCTCCTATCTGGCTATTTTCGGAAGTAATGAAGTAGCTTTAAAGTGACTGAATCTTCTAGTTTCCTAAGAAACCTGGACAATGTCAGAAAGTCTGTTCAGCATTGCAGAGTAGCATATTATCCAAATTCGCTTTTTTTTTTGGTCATATACAGTATATGAAGTGATTCAATGAAATGGAGTGATTTGAGAACACCTTAAATGGATTACAGAATGCCCTAGAACAATTGAGTGACTAGTGGCATCATTGGGTGATACATTATGTTAATCTTGAAGCGTGACCTATTTGAATTGTTTCCTAGATTTATTTGCTGCTGGCGGGTTAGTGCAAATAAATGGGCTGTACAAATACATATATATATTTACAAAAATATATTTTAAGATTTCATAGAATCACAGAATCACAGAATCACAGAATCACAGAATCACAGAATGTCAGGGGTTGGAAGGGACCTCAAAAGATCATCTA